AGCCAACTGAGCTAACACTTCAGTCTTCTTCTCTGCCCACTTTTGTGCCCATTTCTAAGCCAACACCTCAGTCTTAATCTGTGTCTGCTGGACCACTCCAATCCGAGCTCTCAACCCCTTAACCCATCAAACTTCCCGACTCTATGAGATTTGGCCAGGTGCACTCAAGAAGGCAGAATCTGAATCCTACTCCTATGCAAGTCCAAGAATCACCAGGAAATGAGGTAAGTACAGTTCAAGAAACTCATGCTCCTCAATTAGCACTTGACCATGAACTACCTATTGTCATTAGGAAAGGAACAAGGGAATGCACAAAACACACTCTATATCCTTTAGCGAAGTTTGTGTCATTTGAAAAATTCTCACCATCTCATAGAAGCTTCCTAGTCAGTTTGAATACCCTTCACATTCCTAATACATTATCTGAGGCATTAGCTGATGAGAATTGGAGAATTGCTATGAAATAAGAAATGCAGGCACTAGAGAAGAAACAAAGATGGGAAGTTGTTGATTTGCCACCAGGGAAGAAAGCTATAGGATGCAAGTGGGTGTTTACAGTATAATACAAGTCAAATGGCTCTCTAGAAACATACATGGCCAGGCTCGTAGTAAAAGGATACACGCAAACTTATGGAGTTGACTATCAAGAGACATTTGCTCCAGTAGCTAAGATGAACACAAAGAATTCTGTTATCACTAGCTGCTAATTTCAACTGGAGTTTGGAGTAGTTTGATATAAAAAATTTCTTTTCTTCACGAGAACTTGGAAGAGGAAACATTGTTGAAATCCCGAATCTAGTGCATAGAAATCAGTTTCCTGATTTAGGATAAATTGTTTCCTGATTTATTTTTTTAATTCAACAGATCACTTTCTTGATTTCTAGGCCATAACTTTAGTAAAGTTGATTTTCATAATTGTATTATAAATAGGAGCCCTATGTACAGAATATTCATTCAATATAGAAAAACAGAAAGCAACGTTCCTGCTTTCAAACATCCATAGATAATCCACCAGGATTCAAGGGAGATATGAAAGGCAATAATGTTTGCAGGTTAAAGAAAGCACTGTACAGTCTCAAGCAATCACCAAGGGCTTGGTTCGGAAGATTTACACAAGTAATGCTTGCATCCGGATACATACAAGGTCAAGGAGATCATACGCTCTTCATTAAACACTCAGATTCAGGGGGAGTCACAGCTCTTCTAGTATATGTCAATCGCATAATTATGATAGGCTTTGAGAAGATGTTTAGCCAAAGAATTCGAGATCTTGGGAGATTTAAGTACTTCCTGGACATTAAATTAGCACATTCCAATAAGGGGATCTTTATTTCACAACAGAAATATGTCATAGACCTTTTGAGGCAAACAAGTATGCTAGCTTGTAAACTAGCATCTACAGCAAGTGATCCTAATCACAAACTTGGGGAAGCAAGTGAGGACCCGGCGGTAGATAGAGAGATGTACCAGAGACTAGTAGGCAAACTCAAATATCTGGCTCACACGAGACTAGAAATTGCATATGTCGTCAGTGTTGTAAGTCAGTTTATGCATAGTTCAAGAGAAGTTCATTTACAGGCAGTCTATAGGGTTAGGGCTGGCAATCCGGATAGCGACACGATGATACGACTCGAAACATGCACGAAGTTAGTGGGGTTTGGGTTTACTATAAATGGACTTGGGTCATAATCGGGTCGACACGATTAAAACAATTAATAAATGGGTTAGGTTAGGGTCGACCTCCTAACACGAATACGACTCGAAACATGCACGAAGTTAGTGGGGTTTGGGTTTACTATAAATGGACTTGGGTCATAATCGGGTCGACATGATTAAAACAATTAATAAATGGGTTAGGTTAGGGTCGACCTCCTAACACGAAGTGACACGAATTGATACGATTAATTATATATGTCATCTGCAATCTAATGATATGTGATATAACACGAAAGTTTATATGACATTAAATACAAATAATGAGAATTTTAATATTTGTAGGTAAAATTCATTTATTTTTTTTAAAGGAAAAAATAAATTGACCAATAAACATGTTAAATAAGTCATTATTATATTAGTTATTTATTCAATATATTAATTTAAACGGGTTATATGGGTTGACACAATTAACACGATTAATAAATGGGTCGTGTTTGGGTTGACATTTTGACATGTTTAATAAACAGTTCGTGTTTAGGTTGATGTTTTCTAACACGATTAATAAACAGGTTGACACGAACACGACCCACTAACACAAATTGCCACCCTTATATAGGGTACTGCATAATTTAAAGGAAATCCTGGCAAAGGCATTTTGCTCAAATGGAATACTAGATTAGCTCTTAAGGCACACACTAATGCCGATTATGTTGATCGAAGATCTACCTCAAGATATTGCACTTTTCTTGGAGGCAATCTTGTGACCTGGAGAAGCAAAAAGCAGAATGTAGTGGCCAGATCAAGTGCAGAGGCAGAGTTTAGAGTAATGGCCTTGGGAATATGTGAGGTACTATGGATCAAGATAATTTTAGATGACCTAAAGATCAGATGGGAAGGACCAATAAAGTTATTTTGTGACAAGACGTCAGCCATCAATATCGCTCATAATCCTATTCAACACGACAGAACGAAGCATGTTGAAGTGGATAGACATTTCATAAAAGAAAAGTTGGATAGTGGACTGATTTGCACTCCATATGTTTCAACTAACAGTCAACTAGCAGATGTGCTCACAAAAGGACTCAACAGTGCAACATTTCAAGGGCTTATTTCCAAGCTGGGAATGGAGAATGCATATTCACCAGCTTGAGGGAGTGTTAGAAATCACGAATATCATGATATTTTATTCTCCTGATTTTTCAGATTGTCTATATCTTTTCGATTGATGTTTTGTATATTTGACTTTATCGAAATCATGGAATTTTATTTAGAAATCTCACTAATTTAGTTTCTTGTTTTCTAGGAGATTTAGTTTCCATTTTTTCCTTGTAATCAGCCCTGTAATAGCTGACATATTGGTCTATAAAGACCCATGTATACTGATGAATGAAATACAAGAAAAATACTCTCTAATCACTCACAAGTACAATTCTTATTTTCACACATTTATTCCATTCAACGATAAACCTTGCAAGCTCATTGTTCGTGAAGGGAGTGAGATTAATGTTGTGTCTAAGGGATTTGTCAAGCGAATGAATCTTCAAACCAAGCCCCACACTAGACAGTTTTGGGTAAATTGGATAGGTAAAGGTTTTCTTCAAGTTAGCGAAAAATGCTTGCTTCCTATACTCTATGGTCCTTATAAGATACATGTTTATTGTGATGTCCTCCCCATGCATGTTACTCAAATTTTGTTAGGAGTTCCTTGGTTTGATGAGTATGATGTGACACACATCAAAGGGAATAAATACATCTTTAGACATGATATTAAAACCCTTATGTTGCTCCCCGCCAAGCCAAGAAACTCCCCCTTATCTAAGACCAATCTTTCCTTCACAAGTTTCAAGTCCTCATAGGTTTGAAGAGGAGATACATGTTGTTAAGGTTGAAAACAAGAAAGAGGTTGTGACAAATGATGGGATTGTTCATCCCAACTCCTTACATGAGCCTATTATTGATGAACCATCTCCTTTCCAACCCAAAGTCCCATCACCACTTTGTGCTCCTACCCCCAAATCTGTTGAAGTTTCTTCAAAAGTTACTCAGTCATCCATTGACAACAATGCCTATCAACCATGTGATGACATTCCCACACTTCCTCTCACATCATTTGGATCTAATGCGTATTTACTTGATTTTGCTTCTAATGTGAGAGTGGGATTGGTGATTAGAAGCCCCGAGTGTTTTTTATGCTTGTTTTGCAAACAAAATGTTTCTGCAGTCAACAACCAAGCTCCTATGGCTTCTTCAAGAAGCATTTTGAGATCGAAGAATTTCTTACGTTTTAGGCTGTTGCTTTGTGATTGTTCTGAATTTGCACTCGACAGAGTCGAGTTCCCCAACCAAAGGATAATGATGAGGAATAAGAGTGGAATATGGGGAAAATAAATATAGAAAATAAATTAGTTTGATTAGGATTGATTTTTATTTGATTTTACCTTAATTTTGTAGGATTTTATGCATTTAATTAGTTTCCAGTTTCGATTATGTAATTAGCCTATAAATTGGCTACTTTGTTAGAAGAAAACCAGACTATGAATGAATATTGAAAAGTATTATCGGATTGTTTCTCCCTCTCATATTCTTCTCTTCTCTCCCTCAAGTTCTATCTCAATTTCTTTCTAAATCCCTAATCCCTCTTTTATTTCTCTCTCCTTTCTTCTAATTTCTCCTCTTTCTATTCTCTCTTCTCTATTTCCCTTTCTCCCCCAGTTCTGCATCAAAAAGACTTTTTCCTTAGCCAAAAATTGTAGGTTGTAACTCTTAATCCTCCAATGAGTTAGCAACGAAGAAAAATAATAATAACTTTAATTGGAGTAATTGAAATCAAAGTAAAGTGAAGAGGGTCAGAGTCTATAGATAAAGTATCACCAAACACCAATTAGATACTGGAAGGAGGATTTACAAAAGAAACTAACATCCCTCCAAAACTCCAAACATACATGAGTTAGGCCGTTCAGTTATGCCCACAGCTTGTCAACCTGTATCTAACGCACCACCAAGGGGTAGCTTAAGTGGCTCAGGACCTCACCTTACAAGTGGGAGGTCTTGGATTGATTCCCCTTGGGGTACTTCCCTCAGTTTGTCCCGGTGTGTTCAGATATGAGGGTCTACACACACCCTTGTGGTTTAGTCAGGTGCTCAAAGAGGCATGGATACCCATTGGTTATCAAAAAAGAAGAAGGGGAAAAAAAAAAGAAAAAGAAAAAACTGTATCTAACGCATATTGTCGATCTTACTAGTATTGTTTTATCTATTTTTCTTTTTTAATTTTTATTTGGAGCAACATAACTCTGCCAATGTAAACACACACATAACAAGCAAGAGGAAGACAAAAAACATACTGGCGCCACTTCTTCTCTTCATCCTCTCCCGAGGAGGCTACTTTTTCCGGATGAAGTTTGTCACGCAATTTATCAATAATAGCTGCAAACAGCAACATGCTTGCATTTAAAATTAGTAATACAACTGACGAAATGATAAGTTATACTTGGCACTATAAGCATTAGAAATACGACCAAAGAATTCAGACAATGCATTAACAAAAGAGACGAGAACCTGATGAGTCGACCAGCTGTTCACCATCTACCATCAATATAGGAACCTTCTTGTAATCAGACCATTTAATCTCTTTCTTACTAAGTGGGTTGACTTCTATAACTTTGTAGGGTATGTCGTAGTAGTCCAAGAATGCTAAAGATGAAAGAAGACAGCGATAATCAAGATAGCGAGTTGCAGAGATAATTAACGACTATCAGTGACCATGTAAGAAAGTGATTAGATGAGAGAAGGAAAATTACACGAGTTTTCCCAGGAAATCCAATACAATGATCAACAACATACCCTAAATTTTGCAATGATCTATACATAGCTTAAATTTATTAGCAAATACCCAAAAATTGATCGTATGAGTTATTGGACAAGTTAGAAATTGTTAAAAATTAGCAAAAAAAAAAAAAAATACACATTACTACAGTTAAGAGATATACTCTTTTCATTTTGCCTTTTCATGCAATCCGCTGCTAAATTGCAAAGGGAGAGCACAACAAAATGAATAAAAAAAAAATCGACTATTCAATTTCCCCTTTGAAGAAAATAGAACTATAATTACATTCGTCCATTAACGAAATTTCGTACGAGACCTCCAACTTTTCACATGATCTCCAAAAACTTTTAGTCTAGATCCAGATTTGAACACTAATACAAGCGTTAATACGAATTGATTATGGCAACAAACCTTTAACTTTGTTGCAGAAAGGGCACGCCTCGTACTGATAAAGAACGACGTCCTTAGGGACCACCTCTGGCGGCTGTGGTTCCTTCGCGTAGACCTCCATGGCTCCGGCGGCGAACACCGATGCCATAACTCCGGCAACAGCAGTGGAAACCGTCCGAGACGAAGCGCTAGTGGCGGCGAGGGATTGGAGAATGGGAGAGAAACAGCGGCGGCGAGCAGCGGAAGATGCGTTGGTGGTCTCGGTGGCGTAGAAGGCTACTTGGAGAAGGCAGCGGGAGGCGGCGCCATGAGATCGGGAGAGAAGGGTGGAGGCGACGAGGGTGGTGGCCCTTCTCATGGTCATGGTGGTGGTTTATGGTTGATGAGACCGGGAGAGAACAAGCGGATCTCTGCCGCTCCCTTCAATGGTTGTGTTTTGGAGAGAAAGTAGGAACTCAACGAAGGGTCTGGGGTTTTGGGGTTTAGGGTTTTGGGGTTTGGGAGGTGCTTTTGTTAGGACTTAGGAGGGGAAGGGTGAGAGGATGGATAGGTTTTAGAGGGGAGGGGGAAGTGTAAGGGTATATTTTGCAGAGGGATAGATTGAGCGGTGATTTAGGAAAATGCCTTTTAAAACTTTTTTTTTAGTCTTTATTTTGCGGATTTGAGTTTTTAATTTAAGTTGAGATGTAATATTTTTTGATAATTTTTTACTACAGTAATAAATGTGATATTTTCTGAGAACTTTTTATTATAAAAATTTAAAATTAAAAATTTAAATCAGTGAAATGAACAAATCTAAATTTTTATCGTTAAAGTTTACAAATTTTAGTGCATAGCCTTAGGTTTAATGAATTTGATTGATCGTCTAAAAATACTCTTTTTATAAAATAATAAACATTAAAAGAAAAGTGGGCAAAAAAATTAAAAGAAAATAAAGAAAATAAAAAAATAAACGTGAAACTCTTCTCGTTTAAGAAAAAAAAAAGGGAAAGAAAAAAAAAAAAAAAAAAGGAAAAGAGGAGAGGTTCTCATAGTTTCATCCTATACACTCTAGAGAGATTACTACTCATACAAGTCAACTAAGCATCTAAATACGGTGAAAATTTGTCCATTTTACTCATTTTATGGAGGTTTTACATGCAAAAGCCAACTCTTTAAGCTAGGGATTTGAAGGTACGTTAAAATCTAATTTGATTTAGCTTTATGCTTTAAATTTTTGTTTAAAACATGGGTTTTTTGTGTTTTTTAATTCATAGTATTATATATAAAAGAATTAGACCGTTTTCTGCATTTTGAGATTGAATTTGTGATTTTTAAGATGAAAATTCGAGGTTGAAGATGAACCAGTGATTTCTACAGCATTCGGTAGAGATCTTGACTTTGCAGTAGAGATACACTATCAGTTGAGCAATAAAGATTCTACTGGAAAGAGCAGTAAAGTTTCATTGTGAATTACACTAGAATTTAAGAAGTTTGAGGCTTATTGCTTGTTAGATTATTCATATTCAAAGCAAATTGGATTGCATAGACTTAGACGGTAAAGGTTTTTTAAGCACTTTGAATTGTTGATGGTTAATTTTTATTTATTTAGTGTATGCTTTGAGAGTTTATGCTTATAGTAAAAGTTTGACATTTTTGTATTGCAATATTAATCATAAGTTATGGAAGGAGAATAATGTGATATAATTTTCATTAATTGATTTATCTTGTAAATGGTTTAAATTCATTTTTAAACTTATACCTTATCTTATATTCATTGTCTCATATAATATATTTTTAATTATTTTTTTTAGGAAATGACTCAACAGTAATCACAGTTTGTTACGGTAGAGATTGCAAGAATGTAGATCCGTGTAGGGAGATTGCAAGTATGCAGATAGCTTTTTTCTTCTGAACGGCCGACAATCTACCGTCGACATCGCTTCATCAAACACACCGCTCTGGGGTAACAAAGTATCGTTGTCGTTAACAACCGATGTAGGAGGGGTGACATAATACTCTCTTGGATCCACTTCATCATTCACATCTTCAATGGTATCTTGGAGATCATTAAGAACATTGCTAATTCTGTGGTTTGCCACCTCTGTTGGCATAGCGTCGTGATCCTGGTTTTGCCACCCCTGTAGCCGCTAACTCAATAGGCATACCGGCACAGCCCCAGTCTGTCACCTTGGTAGCCGCTACCTGAGCAAGTGTAAAGGTAAGGTCCAGGTGTGGTTATGGTTCAATTTATCTTCCGTCGCTGTTTGCCGATGACCATTATTAGATTGCTCCATGTTGCCTACTATCATAGCAAGGTTATAAATTTTAGCTTCTATTCGAACTAATAGCTCATCAAAATGAGTCTGCGTGTTGCCTACTATCATAGCAAGGTTATCAATTTTAACTTCCATTCCAGCTAATCACTCATCAAAATAAGTCTTCAGTGCTGCATACAGTTATAGCTCTCTGTTGGCTCAGGTGGAACTAAAGGAGTTTGTCTAGGTAGTGCATCATGATCTCTTGTGGGCATGGAAGGTTGGGTTGGGGGTACGGACGATAATGATGGTGTTGTCGGGTGCAATTGAGTGTCTCTAGTCGAACCAACATGCCTATTGATTACCACTCCAGATCTCAATTTTTAAACTAATGGATCAATGACCCTATCATCCTTATCGTCAAGTATAGTGGCATAAGACATGTATGCCAAGCTCTACTCCGCCTCCGGTGGCACCAACATACTTCGTATGATCTGAAAAGTTTCAAATATAAGAGTAAACTTAACAAAGTTCAAAAAATAAATAAGCGGGGAGTCATTTTAACTACTAAATAAATAAATAAATAGGAACAATTGACACTAACATCTTCTTTTGAAAAAAATCGCTCGTATTAGCATTTATACCCTTCAGGAATAAATGTAAGAATGTTTATTAGGCACTTTTTACTATTTTATAAAGATTTATTTAGTTTATATATCAAGTATTTTGTTCTCTTGACGTTCATATTAGTTGAATATATGATAAGCAAACTGAAAATTTGAGACTGTCGTTCTAAATTTTTGGAGAATATGCGGAAGACATGAATCTAATGATGATAGTCTAAATGTTGAGATTTACAATCGATGGAATAAAGTTGAGCGCTTTATTCATGTTAAGATTGTAATATTGTCTACTTCCTAATGGAGACGGCTTGTCTTGGTTGTCGAAGGTGGGACCATGGGTACGAACATTGATATAGTTCATAATGGTGGAATCTATATTGTATCAGACCAAAGTTGAATTGTCTTAATTAATAATTTTGTTTGAATAAAACAGTTCACTTTTGACTAATTATATGTTATCATCTTAATTCTGAGATGAATAATAAACACGTATACTTGACTTGTACCTTTTGATGTACCAAATGGAGACATCCTGACATTATGTAAAGGTATGCTTACTGGTAAGTAGCAGGTATGACTTCTGTATGCGTAGATTTATTATTCATAGATAGGAAATCCATAACACTTATTAAAAGAGTTAATTATATCCTCTTATGGCATTATCCGAGGATTGAAAAATATGAGCGCTCAACCATTAGACTACTTTGTGTTATCTAATGATTTACTATTTCTATTGGTACAAATAATGATTTTTTTTTATAGACTGATAATAGAACATAAGATAAATATAATCAGAAAGGTAAAACGGAACTTGACTTCAAGTCGATTATGAATATCCTATGAGGATGATACACAATATAATAAAGTCATGGACATGAGCTAATTAGAGCTTTATAAATATATTGTATTGATCGAGAGTGCAGTTCTAGGCTTTTAATGGAGTAGCACTAGAACTTATAATCATGTGATGAACTTGTGAGTTAACAAGTGTTATCATGATTATAGGAGCTTAATCAATACATGTCCATCAGGTCTTGCTGCTAGCTCATATATTTTCCTGATACGATACAACGTATTTCCTATATATTGGTAACTTATGTTGTTTCTGCAATTGGTTATAAATCGGATGAAATTAATTCATGAGGGGTTTATTTGTTGAATTAATTATTTAAATTAATTCAAACTAAATTGGTTGAACTCATAAAATGTTTAAATTAATTTAAGAATTATTTATCGGTTGAATTAATTGTGTAAATTAATTCAAGATAAATTAGTTGAATTAATGTTTTTATTTTTATTTGATATGAGAACATAAATATATAATTATTTTAATCAGATAATTTCTACATTAGATTATTTGAATTACAACTGGAGTTATATATACAATTCTCAGGTTTGAATAAAGGAACAACATCGAGCTCGAAAACGGGTTCTGGTTAACTGGTGGGTTTACGTAGTATAGACACAGTCCATCGTCTGGTTAATCGGATGGTCTATGTGGCACTGACTAGTTGCAATTTTGGATCCGGGAACTTAACAAAATTGTGAAACAATTATAACCTACCTCTATAAATCCATTACGTCATAGAGTCAATTAGATTACTAAAGAGACTCTTTGGGGGCTATTGGTAAGGGTTCCTAAGAGAAAAAATTGTTCAAACATCAAGAACGCATAAACTATATTGCTATTCCACTAAAAGCCTAGAGTTGATGACTCTCGATTCATATAGTACATTTAGAAAACTCCGAATAGCTCTTGTCCATGGCTCATTATATGTAATACCCTGAAGAATTAATTGAGATTAATAAAGGTACTTGAGATTATTAGTGTGCCTAATCGGATTTAAATTAATTGAGTTTTGATTAATAAATATTTCTGACGTGTAATTTAAATAGTTTCAAGGTATTTAAATATTCTCAGTATTTACATGTTTACCCAGAAGTGTGTATGGACACATTTCTGGACAGTTATTTTAAATTTAGTGACACTTGTCTTTTATTTCTTTTCCTTTTTCCTTTTTCATTTTTCTTTTCCTTCCTTCCCGTGCATTCACTCTCTCGCTCTCTCTCTCTCTCTCTCTCTCTCTCTCTCTCTCATTTTTGTCCCAAATCAAACGGATCTTGAACCAAAGGAGAGTTTCAAAGCGTTTTCAACGTCAAGAGAAGGATTCGAGGTAAGATTACTGAAAGGACCTCTCTTGAATCTCAAGTTTTCGAATTTTAAAAACTTATTTTTGGTTCGAAACGAATCTTTAATGATTTTGAGTAAAACCTTGGTAGAAATTGGAGATCTTGGGTTCTTTGGACTTGTTTTAGGACCTAGAACCTGGATCTAGTGGTTTTCCTTTGAAATATTTCAATTTGGGACTGAGATTGTAATTTTTTAGACTCGTTTCCGTGAGCTTCTCTCGCGCAACTGATGCCACCGGTCGACCTGTCTGGTCGACTGGATCACATGGTAACCGGTCGACCGATGTTGTCGACTGGATTGCATTGGCCTAACCGGTCGACCTGTCCGGTCGACCGGATTGCACACCACCGGTCGACCGGTGGTGATGCACTGTTCTGTTACCGGTTGACCGGTTGACACGGGGTTTGACCCTGTTTGACCTAAAATTGCTGTTCTGACCCCTGTATTTGGGGAGAACCCAAATTAGCTTCATTTGGGGACTTGAGATGAATGGATTAGCATCTTTAATCCTTGTTTTGAGATTGAAAATTCTTGGAATGATAATTTGAAACATGAAAATGGATTAGGGCACACTAATAGGAAATCTTGGTTGGAAATTGAGATTGGATTGCTTTAGGAATGAGAATTAATCCTAAAGTGTTGTCTTGCATCAGTGATCGCTGAGGATTCAGACTGAAGGGGCTTGAGGAAGCGGAAGCCGGAAAAGACAACGCTAGTCCTAGGTTTGATTGTGCGAGGTAGGATTTCTATCCCTTTTTCTTGTGAGTCTGATTTTTAAAAATGATTTTGGCCTTGGAAATGTTTTAAAAGAAAGGGGTTCCTTTGCGAAAGAAAAACTCTTTGAAAACCATGACTTGTGTAGTTTATGGAATCTATGGCTTGTCATGTCCATAAAATCCATAGCTTGTCCAGTCATGGAACCTCATGGCTTGCCCAGTCATGGGACCCGCGGCTTGAGTAGTTCGTGGGGTCATAATAACGAATAGTGCATCGTCGGGAGCAGAACCCGAAACACGGTCCGGGTAGGCGAGGCACTTGGTTAGGTAAGTCATTTGTACTAATTACTTGCTGAAGCCTGTAATACGGTTATTTTCAGTTATATTTCCTTTGAGAAAAAGGATGTGAGGTTCCGGCTATCTATTGGAACTGAATGTCTATTTATTCATTTACCCATTTATTTATTTACTCACACATTTATATATTCATTTACTTTTAAGTCATTTCAAATTATATCCTACTGGGTCTTTCGCTCACATTTTATCTTTTAAACGTGTTAAACCCCTCCAAGAAGATTCTAGGAGCGGTGCAAAGTAGCTGGATATTTGTTACGGAGCAGTTGAGTTGTGCTGCTGTTGGAATCAAGTGAGGATTGTGGTCATCCTTTAGAATAAAATGTAAGGAATTGAGAATTCTGTAAACTCTTGAAATATTTAGATTAACTAGACTATGGTTGATGTCTGTTGTAATGATTATTTACATGTGCATGTATGTACGATACTGTATGTCCTGTGGGTGGAGCCCTGTGTGTCGTCAGAGGCTCGAGATTCTGTAATTTATTTATATCTTAATACAGTTAAGTGGGGCTCGTCTGGGAATCTGCTCTATTAACCCCTAATCGAGCTCCACGTCACCCACCCCGTTTTGGGGGCGTGACAGAGTGGTATCAGAGCCCTAGGTTAAGAAACCCCAGGATTGTACATACATGTGTGACATCTGTAATCCACTGAACGGTCTAGTTTTATTTGAGTTAAAGGAAATGGCACCTCGCCGTAGACCAGCTAAGGAACCGATACAACAGAATCATGGATTTCTGGATGCTATGTATGGTGCCTTTCAAGGCATGGCCACTAGAGCTCAAAACGAGCGGTCGGTTGAGGATAGGAAGCAATATTACTTTCGGGAATTTAGGCGTGTGCCTATCCCCTCGTTTAATAGTAAGGGATGACCCAAGGAAGCAGAGTTCTGGTTAGACTACATAGGCAAGCAGTTGAGTACTATAGGAGTCCCAGATGAATACTGGGTGAAATTTACGGTATACAAGATGAAGGGCTTAGCAAATACTTGGTGGAAACAGGTCAAGAGAAGAATAGATGTTACAGGACTGACCTGGGAGCAATTTGAGACACTGTTCAATAAGCAGTACTTCCCTCAGAGTTATAGGGATGAAAAAGCGTTGGAATTCATGTCTTTACTGCAAGGTGACATGTCTGTAAGGGAGTATGAGGCCAAGTTTAATGACCTATCTCGGTTTGCGCCATCTTTGGTGGAATTTGAACACCTGAGATGTCTTAAGTTTGAGAAGGGCCTCAAGAACTCTGTGAGGAGATCATTGGTAGCTTTGAGAATTCAGAATTTTCGGGATTTGGTGTCTGCTGCTACTAGGGTGGAGCAGGATAACATGGCCTATCACCAAAGTAAAGAACTAGTTGGGCGAGTTTCAGCTTCTAGCGGACCATCTGCTTCCGGCGGGCCACAGCGGAGTGGTAGAAGGAACCGCAATCAGGGATAGCCTGGTGGGGGAGTGATTAACGGTGGCAGTAGTTCGCCAGGAAGTGACAGAAGTGCTTCATATGGGCCCAAGTGTCACCATTGTGGGCAGGTGGATCATATTAGGAGGAATTGTCCTAATCGGCCGCCGGCTTAACAAGCTCAAAGTGACGCTCCGTACAGTCAGGAGGGGCCACCACAGTATATGCCACCATATCAGCCACCGCAGATGCCATATCCCCCTGTGCCAACTTATCAACCACCTCAGTATACACAATTTTGGCCTCAAGCGCCGAGACCGGTACAACCACCTCCGCCGCAATAGTATAGGCCAGCGACCTAACGGCCTAATGTTGGTGATAGAGGGAAAGGGAAAGTGCAGGGGCAAGCTTATACCCTGGCAGGAGGCAGTTCGGGAGGTCAGACCAGTAACGCAGTGATTGAGGGTATGATTCTAATATCTCATGTCATACACTCTTTTGTATCAAGTTCTTTTGTTCGGACTTTGAAACTGAAGTCTGAGAATTTAGAAGTCCCGATGACTTTGAACTCCCCACTGGGATGTGTGGAGGTGTTGAGTGTGTGTAGATCGTGTGAAGTCACGATTGGGAGTGAGCGAATGAGAGCTGACTTAATTATCCTTCCGATGAGTCTGTTTGACGTGGTCCTTGGAATGGATTGGTTGTCAGAATATGGTGCAATTGTTGATTGTTACCATAGGAGAGTGACTTTGATGACTAAGTCTGGAACAGTGATTTCTCATCAGGTAGATATGAATCCAGTCCTGGGAGAACGACTGTTGAAGTACAGTGTTGGGGGACAGAGGAATCTAGCCTGTTTTTCTTCCCTTCTTGTTTTGGAAGGTGAACCTGAGGTAATTGGAAATAGTGCGGGAATTCCTGTAGTGGATGAGTTCACAGATGTGTTTCCTGAGGATTTACCTGGTTTACCGCCAGATCGGGAGATTGAATTCGGCATTGATTTGGTTCCGGCAACAGCACCTATTTCCATTCCCCCGTATCGGATGGCGCCTGTGGAGATGAAAGAATTGAGAAAGCAGCTTGAAGAGCTAGCAGAGAAGGGATATATCCGGAATAGTACTTCACCTTGGGGTGCACCGGTGCTATTTGTGAAAAAGCACGATGGATCTCTTCGGTTATGCATTGACTACCGTCAATTGAATAGGGTAACTGTGAAGAACAAATACCCACTGTCGATGATCGATGAATTATTCGATCAGTTGGGTGGATCACAATTTTACTCTAAGATTGACTTGAGATCGGGGTACTACCAATTAAAAATTAAGGAGGAAGACATTCCGAAGACTACTTTTAGAACTCGGTATGGGCACTTCGAGTTTCTTGTAATGCCTTTTGGGCTGACGAATGTCCCGGCGGCATTCATGGACTTGATGAATCGTGTTTTTCGGCTGTATTTGGATCGCTTCGTAATTGTCTTCATTGACGACATACTGGTTTACTCGAAGACTTGGGAAGAACATAAGCATCACTTGAGAATTATTCTTCAAACTCTTCGTGAACACCAGTTGTATGCTAAGAAGGAGAAATGTGACTTCTGGCTGACAGAAGTGAAGTTCCTTAGGCATGTAATTTCAGGACAAGGAATCTCTGTCGATCCTTCTAAGATCGAGACTGTGCTACAGTGGGAAAGGCCGAAGAATGTAGCGGAGATTTGCAGTTTTCTCGAACTTGCAGGGTACTATCGGCGTTTTGTGAAAGACTTCTCGAGTATTGCTGCACTGATGACTCGGTTGACCAAGAAAGAAGTCAGATTCCAGTGGGACGCCGAATGTGAAAATGCTTTTCAGGAATTGAATGTCAGATTGACAAGTGCACCAGTCTTGACTATTCCTGATAGTGAAGAACCATATGAGGTGTATTCTGATGCCTCGGGGAGTGGGCTTGGCTGTGTCTTAATGCAAGGGGGACGTGTGGTAGCATACGCATCTCGCCAATTAAGATCACATGAACGGAATTACCTCACTCATGATTTGGAGCTGGCAGCGATAATGTTTGCTCTGAAGATATGGAGATGTTATCTCTATGGAGCAAAGTTTCATATATTTTCTAACCAAAAAAGTCTGAAGTACTTATTTACTCAGAAAGACTTGAATCTCAGGCAAAGGAGATGGGTGGAGTATATGGAAGATTACGACTTCACTCTACAATATCATCATGAAAAAGCTAATGTGGTGGCTGATGCCCTTAGTAGGAAGACGACGGGGACTCTGGCGTCATTAACTTTAGAAGATTGAAAAATGACTGAAGTGGTGAGTGAGTATAATCTTCAGTTCTACAAAGATTATAACCAGGCTATGATGTATAATCTGGGCTCTACACCGGATATTGTGCAACGGATTAAGCAGAATCAATTGCAGGATCCACACCTATAAGGAATCTGGATTCGAATCCAGAATGGAGAGTAACTCGAGGATTAGAGAATCCGAAAGGATGGAGCCTTGTATTTCCGCAATCACCTTGCTGTTCCTAAGGCGGATGAGGTAAAGAAGACGATTCTGTGGGAGGCTCACAAATCGAAGTTTGCTATACATCCGGGAAGTACAAAGATGTACCAGGACCTGAAAAGATAGTACTGGTGGAAAGACATGAAAAGAGACGTTCGTGAGTATGTCTCGGAATGTGTAACTTGCCTCCGGATTAAAGCTGAGCATTAGAAGCCAGTGGGAGAGTTGCAACCTCTTCTTGTCCCTGGATGGAAATGGGAGCACATCACTATGGATTTTCTGATGGGGCTACTGAGAACCGAGCTGAAGCACGATGTCATCTGGGTGGTGGTGGACAGGTTGACGAAGTCCGCGCACTTCATACCGTTCCGTGCGACGTATTCTCAAAAAATTCTGTTAGAATTGTACCTGGAGCACATCATGAGACTACACAGAGTGCCACTGTCTATCACGTCAGATCGTGACACGCGTTTTAATGCAAGGTATTAGAGGAGTTTCCAGGAAGCCATGGGAACAGACTTGAACTTCAGCATAGCATTTCATCCTTAGACTGATGGGCAATCTAAAAGAGTAATTCAGATTCTGGAGGATATGCTTCGTGCTTATATTCTGGAATTTGGTGAAAACTGGAAGAAATACCTGCATCTTGCTGAGTTTGCGTACAACAACAGCTATCAGGCCAGTATCGGTATGGCACCGTTTGAGGCTCTCTATGATCGTCCTTGTAGGTCACATGTTTGTTGGTTGGAACCAGAGGATCGACTGAGTACTGGGCCGGAGGTCATTCAAGAGAACAATGAAAAGATAGCCGTGATTCGGAACGACTGTTGACAGCTCAAAGTCGTCAGAAAAGCTATGCTGATAGAAGGCGTAGGCCTTTGGAATTTCAGGATGGCGACTTTGTTTTGCTGAGGGTTTCCCTACGCAAGGGAGTTGTTCGGTTTAGTGTGAAAGGGAAACTTGCACCAAGATATGTGGGACCATTTCTGATCGTGCAACGAGTCGGAGTGGTGGCTTATTGGTTGGCTTTACTGCCTGAATTATCTCATGTGCATGACGTGTTTCATGTCTCCATGCTTTGAAAATGTCAACCTGAGCCGGAAGTTATAGTGCAGTGGTTTGACGTCCCGATACAATATGACGCGTCATACGATGAGGCACCAGTTCAGATTCTTGACCGAAAAATAAAGAGTCTGCGTCATCGTGAGATCCCATTAGTGAAAGTATTATGGCAGCACCATGGAGCTTGAAATGACGATGCAGGAGCAGTATCCGCATCTATTTACACTTTGAGGTAAGCCTTAATTTCGGGAATGAATTGCCTAAGGAGGGTGGAGCTGTAACACCCTGAAGAATTAATTGAGATTAATAAAGGTAATTGAGATTATTAGTGTGCCTAATCGGATTTAAATTAATTGAGTTTTGATTAATAAATGTTTCTGACGCGTAATTTAAATAGTTCCAAGGTATTTAAATATTCTTAGTATTTACATGTTTACCCAGAAGTGTGTATGGGCACATTTCTGGACAGTTATTTTAAATTTAGTGACACCTATCTTTTATTTCTTTTCTTTTTCTATTCTTTTCCTTTTTCCTTTTTCTTTTTCTTTTCCTTCCTTCTCGTGCATTCACACACTCTCTCTCTTCACTCCCACGCTCTCTCTTTCTTTCTTTCTCTCTCTCTCTCTCTCTCCCTCTCTCATTTTTCTCCCAAATCAAACAGATCTTGAACCAAAGGAGAGTTTTAAAGCTTTTTCAACGTCAAGAGAAGGATTCGAGGTAAGATTACTGAAAGGACCTTTCTTAAATCTCAAGTTTTCAAATTTTAAAAACTTATTTTTGGTTCGAAACGAATCTTTAATGATTTTGAGTAAAACCTTGGTAGAAATTGGAGATCTTGGGTTCTTTGGACTTGTTTTAGGACCTAGAACCCGGATCTAGTGGTTTTCCATTAAAATATTTTGATTTGGGACTGAGATTGCAGGTTTTTGGACTGGTTTCTGCGAGCTTCTCTCGCGCAACTGGTGTCACCGGTCGACCTGTCTGGTCGACCGGATCACATGGTAACCGGTCGACCGGTGTGGTCGACCGGATTGTATTGGCCTGACCGGTCGACCGGATTGCACACCACCGGTCGACCAATGGTGATGCACTGTTCTGTCACCGGTCGACCGATTGACACGGGGCACGACATTGTTTGGCCTGAAATTGTTGTTCTAACCCCTGTATTCGGGGAGAACCCAAATTAGCTTCATTTGGGGACTTGAGATGAATGGATTAGCATCTTTAATCCTTGTTTTGAGATTAAAAATCCTTGGAATGATAATTTGAAACATGAAAATGGATTAAGGCACACTCATAGGAAATCTTGGTTGGAAATTGAGATTGGATTGCTTTAGGAATGAGAATTAATCGTAAAGTGTTGTCTTGCATCAGTGATCGCTAAAGATTCAGACTGAAGGGGCTTGAGGAAGCAGAAGCCGGAAAAGGCAACGCTAGTCCCATGTTTGATAGTGTGAGGTAGGATTTCTATCTCT